TGTGTGGCAAACAGCAGACCTTTCACCCATTGGAGGGCAAGGGCCATCACCTGGGTATTAGGATCAATGATCCCCATACCCCCTCTTGATTTCGGTTGTATGACTGACTTCCATGCCACTCTGCTAATGGCTCTAGGACACTCGTGGTTTCCTCTCCACAAGAAGGTCGTCACCATCCTCTGAAGGGAGGCCGGTACAGGTTTACTAAGGGACCAGAGTGCCGACTTGTACCAGAGGGACGCCAAGATTACATTGTTGATCACTAAGGAGCGGCCCATTAGCGATGCCTGCCGGTCCTTCCACTGCATCAGTTTTTCGAGGACCGGTCTAGTGAGCCACTCATCATTTGAGGGTGGTTGTCCTTCTGCCGTCATTTGAATCCCCAATATTCTAATTGGAGTTTCTTTAGGCATCCATCTGATACTGGGAGTTTTCGGTGGTCTCCCCCATTGGTAATGTAGCCACCAACCTTGTGTCTTATTACCCCAGTTAATAGACATATTAGACAGAGTGCAGAAACGGTCCGCCAATGCTTGAATCTCCATCATGTTTTCTTGGGAGGCATCGACCATTATGGTTAGGTCGTCCGCAAAGAGGGAGCACACCGGGATGGCCTACTCTGGAATGGAGGAGATCTGTATTTTTCAAAGATTCTTATGGGTTCTCAGGTTTGCTGCTAGGGCTTCCATAACAATAACAAAGAGGAAGGGGGCGATGGGATCTCCTTGTCGTACCGACCGTTCGAGGTGGATGGTCGGGGCCAATCTGCCATTCACCTGGATTGTGGTTGTAGCATTTTGGTGCAGAATCTCAATCCATCTTCTGAAGGTCGGCCCAAAATTCATTCTCTCCATACACTTGTCGAGGAAGAACCAGTCCACGTGGGTGATCATATGCTTTCTCAAAATCTACGAAGATCACGGCAGCATTATGCTTGGATTGACGTGACAGTTTAATGACCTCGTTGATCAGTAGAATGTTCCTGAATCTTTCGACCTCCGATGAAGCCTGACTGTGCTGGGTGGATGATATCCTCCATTATGCTAGTCAGGCGGTTAAGTATTACAAAATACTAAAATGAGAAATAAAACGGAATGAAATGGGTTTCTAGCACGTATAACCATAACGCCAGAAACTAAAGCGATGCTTGAAAAAATAGAAAAAAGTATTATTGTAGTGATTAATCTTTCTCTAGTTTTTGCCACCATCTTGTAGACTATCGTCAACAGGGTGATTGGCCTATAGTTCCTTATATTCATTTTATCCCCTTTCTTAGACAGTAGTGTCAGAACCCCTTGCCCCACCAATTCCCCCATCTGACTCGTGGTCCACACCGTGTGGTAGTAGTCCATAAGATCCTATGATATTGTACTCCACATGGTCTCCCAGAACTCTTTGGGCAACCCATCTATCCCGGGGGTTTTCTCTTCGTTCATCAGCATCAGTGCCGACCATACTTCTTCCTTGGTCAGGGGCATCTCAAGGGTTGCTTTTTGCTGGTAAGAAAGAGATTTTTGTAGACAGTGTAGAGGAACCAGAAAGTCCTCTATTTCTGCCTTTCTTTGTTCATGCGATCTGTTCTTTGTTCGTGACCTGAAAAGGTCTTGATAGAAACCTCTTGCTATCTGAACGCAATGGGGGGTTGCGTAGCCACCGAGCTCTAAGGTTGTACCAGAACATAGAATGCTTCAATGGTGGTCCTTCCTGTTTTTAGCTTGGACATGGCGAAAAATCGGGAATCCATGGTTCCTTCCGTTTTATAATTGTGCAACTTCCTTCTGATTCTGATCCCTTGCCATATGTGATCCATGCTTGCACGCAATCGGGTCTCAGTCTCTTCAATGGCTATTGAAATTTCACTCCCGTCTGTTTCTTCATTCTCTTCTTGTTGTTGTTTCAGCTGATAGAGTTGTTGGTGCAATTCCATTTCTTCTGCATGTCTTTGGGCAGCAATTGTTTTTGCGAATTCCTTAGATTTTCTGGCTACAAAGGCCAGTCCATTATTAAACCATGTGATGTCATTTTGAAGTGTCTCTCTGTGTGTTTTTCAATATTACCATACATCATGCATATAGGTTTGAAATTCCTTCCCTATTAACAGGGAGGTATTAAGTTTATAGAATCCTGACCCTTGATCTGGCCGTTTTGTAAAGGAGAGTATAACGACACACATTGCATGGTCAAGACCAGGGAACACGCTCTGTGGAAATACCTCCGCTAGTTGTAGTGCCCCTTCCATGTCCTGCGGTATCAATATCAAATCGATTCTTGATCTCGATATTATGTCCGGACCACTTTTTTTGAAGCACGAGAAAGTACGCCTATTTGGGAAGAGCCTACGAAATAGGTCAAACAAGTCAAGCGCCCCGCATAGATTTGTGATAATTTGTTCATCCTCTTCTACATATGTTGGGCATGGGGAAGGCAGTCTCCATTTGTCCAACCAGCGGTCTGGGGCTGCATTAAAATCTCCTGCCAGAATAGCCGGAATTCCGTTGTGGATCTTGTTTTGAATATTCTCAAAAAAAGCTTTTCTGGCTCCCACCTCATTCGGCCCGTATATACATATTATCTGTATTATTTCCAGTTCCAACATTCCTATTATTGATACGCACCTCCCCTCCACTTGATCCACTTCCCAATATATAGGGTCAATTCTTGAGTTGGGGGGGATCCAAATGGCCACTCCTGCACTTCCGGACCTTACAGTGTGTGCCCGGAAGGCTTGGAAGGGCCAAATCTCTTTATGCACATGGTGGTGTTCTGCCGTATCCATAAGGTGAGTCTCCTGAATGCAGATGACATCTGGCCAGTCTCTCCCCTCTACCCCTCTTAGTTGTTCCCATATTGCTTGTTTTTTCTGAGAAGGGGTTGAGGCCAGACCATTCACATTCAAGGAATGCAGATCCAGGTCGGCCTCCCTTTTACCCTTGACCCATTGCTTGTCTTTCCCTTATAGCATCTTTGTCAAGTCCATTTTTCATCCTTTCTTTTCTTCACCTCCTCCTCATAGTGCTTCCCAGTCCATCAAAACCCCGCCTTCTTCCTTTGCTCCCGCCGCTTGCAAGTATCCTTCTTTTAGGATCCTTAACAATGCCGTCTTGACGTCCTCCTCTGCCCAGCTACTGTTGCTTTTAATTTTCAGAATTTGAAGGTCCAACAGCGCAATCTGTGGGAACCACCTCAGGCCCGCTTCCTTGCCAGACTCGAACAGTACGAATAGGTACGTATCTGCGAGCGGGTGCTGGCCAAAGGTGACCTTCCGTATTGCCGTTGCCCCTGGTTGTCCAAGCACTAACTAGGGCAATGCAAGCATTTCAATTGCCTTCAGAAATGAAAGTTAATTGGTTGAAAACAGTCGGCTGGTGCTTGTAGATCCCCCCCCTCCCCAATTGAACTATCCGGACGGGCCAGAACCCTCAACTCCCATCCATTTCTCGGGAATTATCCCCAATACAAAGCTTACCACCCCATCTCGGCAGCCTCTTTGAAGTCGTCAATGATCAATAGAATGCACAGCTGGCAGGGAATACACACCTCGTTACTCAGAAGAACCTTGGCCTTGAACAACTCGATCTTTGCAATGATGCAATACGCCACCTCGATCTGGTTCCCTTCCTCAGAATTCCAACAACACACCTGTTGCAGGGCAGTGGCCTTCCTATGGATCGGGAAGCCAGATGAACAACATTTCATACACAAAGTAGCATGGCAGATAGTCACACAATCCAAAGGAAAAGGTGGGCTACGAATCATAAACCCAGCACATCAGAATCGTGATCAGATCCATCCACACCAAATAAATGGATTATTGACTCTCCACGACAACCTCCAATGGGTATGGTTGGCCCTCAATCGCATCAGAGAACTGGCGCCCTTCCATCCTCCTCCTGACATGTCAAGCCTCTTCTGGATCTTCAATCAAAACTGACCCCTCCCCAAAGAAGATAGAAACAGGAATCACCAACAGCCACGGAGGAAGAAGAGAACCAAGGAAACACAAAATCCTTTTGGGAGCAATTCTCTTTTTTTTTTTTTTTTTTTTTTTTTTAATATGAAAACAACCCAAGTGATTGCTAGGGGTGCTGATAAAAGCAGACACCACTAGCAGACTCGGGGAGGCTCCATCTATTGGTGGGGAGCATCACCTGCTGGAAAACGGGTCCAGCGTCCCTGTAGCCCCGTGTTCCTCGTACTGTAATCCTGAGCCTTTGATAAGTCAACACGTTGGCACACGCTATTCAACCTAGAGCGCAGAATTGATTACCCTCTCAACCGAGGGGATTGACTGCCCTCCAAAATCTAGAAATATACCCTACTCAGAAACCGTCATCTTATTCTAGAGAATTGATACAGCACCATGAGGGGAAGGGGTAATCCAAGTAGGGAGGTAAAAGTCAAATACGACAGAACTCCGGTAAAGGTCAATTATCACAGAATGAAGATTACTTGTACCAATAATTGCCCTCGACTGGGGAACATGACAATATTCCATCCTCTCCTTACTTTGAGGTCCTCAGCATGATCCACAAACATCGCGCAACGCTCTGAACAAATGGGCGTTCAAAATAAGGAGCCCGTAAAGGTTGATGAAGGCAAAACCCCGGACCAAATCCAGAATTTCTATTTCCATCCCTGTTGTAAAGTTACCTATCCCTATTTCCCCCCTCCGATCGTGAAAATATGCAAACTCACACAGGCGAAGAGGTACTAATGGTAGGCACAATCAAACAGGAAATASTTGATGAAATTGAATTCACGAACTCCAYGCGGCAGAACAACAATCAGTCACACCAGCTTACCTGGTCTGCCACGTGGCCATTCCTATATTCTATACCGCCGCAAGCCGTGAAATCGCCAAAAACACTTGGCAAGAGCAACTGACACGTGGCCTCACCCACCCCTCCTATGMTGCCAAGCACACCTTGCGACCCGATTATCCACCCATCGYTATCCCACCCCTTCGCGCCACCATCCCACCCCCGGCATCCCCATCTTACCTTCATATTTACAACACGTTCCGGTCATCCAACCCACTCGCCCCCAATCGGACGCMACGTACACCRGGAGGGAGAACAAAARGGGGATGCTGGGGAAAGAGGGATAACACTCGCTGCTGCTATTACCGTTGTTGCAATCATTATCCTTCATAGTCGCACGCATGCTAGTGTTCCCTCCTCCTATTCCATTATCATGCTGAATGTAGTTGTTGTTATCGTTGTTGCCGTTCTCGCCATGCGCCACAGCCCTCGGCAATTCATTATTGTCATTAGCGTTGTCGATGTTATGGATTTGAGCGATGCAGGAGAAATGATTATCGTCGTCGCTATTGACAGTCGTGGCGGCATCGTGTACACTGATGTTGCTGTTGTAAGAATCAATTGTGATATCGTTGTCGTCCGCAAACAATCGATCCTCCAATTCGCCGCAGAGACCTTGCCCCTCCTCAAGCTCCTCTTCGCAGCGTCTCATCAGTGCATACAATCGTGGCCGATCTATAAAAGCTGCCAAATGGGGGGGTGGCCCCTCTTCCAACCCCCAGATTATCTCCAGCATGGATTGCTGGACACTCCGAATCGACGACATTGGCAGCTCCATCCCCTCGGTCACAATCATTCTCAACTTTGCCACCGTCTGGCTTAGCTGCGCAGCACTCACTTGAGCAGTACTGAGCCACCCGGCCGCTCCTGACCACTTCTCGTTCACGCTCGCCATCTCCAACCTCAAAACCCCACGTCATGCACTACAACACTCGCTCAAAGAACTGCGCCGCTGTTATACAGTAACCTCCAATCAATCACGGCTGGCGCTTCCCCTGTTCACATGTCGCGGGGCGTCAACGCCACCAAACGACAGGTGGCACGTGGCAAGCTAAAAGCCACGGCCACGTGTCGGGCGCGTGCACAGGCCCAGCGGCCTGGAGGGGGCTCACCTCTCCAACACGCTGGTCAAGCCGGGTGCGGCCGGGCCTTGCCGGTCGGCCGACGTTAGGGCGCGAGCGCTAGCGCAGTCCTCCTGCCAGCCTTTCATAGGCTCATGGAGAAGGATCTTCCCAAAAAATAGAGTCAGCCCCAAAAGGAGAGATGAAGTCCTCAGACGACCAATATCCGTCAACCCTTGGGTCAAAGATGAGAATGGTCACAACATCCAACTCACCAAAGCAAACACCAAACGGGGTCATTGGTTAGAAAGGAGAGTTTGGCAGATCCAACAGCTATGGGACAAGGATACAAACACCTGGAGAACAGAAAAGGAACTAAGAGCAACCCTGAAAGGCAGCCACACAATCTACAGGTCGACATCTCTACCATAATCGAAAGCATCCCCATTGAATGGAGACAAGTACTAAAGTCCACTCAGAAATGGCTATGGGGCGACCGGGTGACAACAAGGAGACAAACAGTGACCCAGGAGGTCCTAAAAATAATAAGCTATGAACAACACAACAAAGACTGGATTTTATGCTCCATTTGCCTTATGGAAGAACCAGGCAACCCGCCTTGCTTCCTCAACAAGGAATGCAGAGCCGAAGGAGCCTTTAAAGCTAGCAAACCTCAAAAGAATGAGAATGATTGAAGGAGAAAGAAATAGGGTTTACAAGCCAGGAACAGAAATACGCTACCTGGAAATAGATCCAGTTGAGTGGGCCTGGAGTACATCGAGCCCCTGATCCCTAGTCGAACACTGCCACATGCTACCCGACTACACCCGCAAACTGGGTTACAGGCTCTTCTCTGAACCAATTACAATGTCAAATTGTCGACTCTACTTAAAAAGAGACGAGGAAAAGAAGAACTCTTTCAAACGTTATCGACAAAATTGCTTGGTTCCTCAGTCTTCTGCACGAAAACCGACCAAACTAGTGAAACTACTGTGGCTCATAGCCGTCAGAGCAGTCCCTGTCAACCTATGGCTCACACAAAGAAGAACAAAAGAAGAGAGAACGGAGCAAGCAACATGGTGTAAAGTATGCAATTCACAATCCATGGAATCCCTCGACCACTATTTTATAGACCACGGAAAAGCCAACTAACTGTGGCAGGACACAGAAACAACCTCGAACAAGCATTTCAGCAGAACGATCATAATCAACTCCGCCACTCGATTCCTAGACAAAGAACAACCCCCCCCCTCTCAAACGATCCAAATCCAAACTCTTTGTCTTCTCCCTAATCGGAAAAGGAACCCTCTGGGCCATCTGGAAAAGGAGATGTGCAATAAATTTCATTTTTCAACGACATCAGCACCAACCGAGATCCAAGCCCTCCGAGGGGGAAAAAAAAAAAAAAAAAAAAAAAAAAAAAAAAAAAAACAGTTACAAGAAGTACCGGATCAAAAAAGCGAACTCGTCACGAAATTTGCGATTTTGAGGCTAGGCAATGGAACACTTGGCTCAGTTGTGGGTGAAAGGCTACATTCTTCCCCCGAATACAACGTACGGTCATTATAGCTGTATTTATACTGAAAGATACCCCAAATTCAGCTATGATGGCCGTACATTGTATTCGGGGGAAGACTGTAGTTCTCAAGGGTTGGCTGGCCATACCAGGACAGCTCAACCGGAACCTGATTACCTGCCCAATGACAGCCCCGATCTCATGGCCGCTTGACTCTAACCCGTTGCCCACTGACAGAGCAGAACAAATAATCTGAGCCCGGAAGGTAAGCCAAGAGCCGAACCCACAACAAGAGAGAAGGCCCGCTGCGAGACGCATTCCAAGGTATCCCGCGACCCAGGTCTACCCACACCAACTCCGTCACCCTCAGTTCCCCCCCCCGAAGCACCTACCTAGCCTCTGGCTCAGATTGCCCGGAATAACCGCTGAAACCCTAAACCCTAATCAAAGCATTTCCTCCCACTCTGATCCAAAACCACAAGCAAATAGACCATTGTTTTCAACCACTACGAAGCCCTCTCACCTGTCTTTTTCATTCCCATGCATCCAATACCTCAAACTAGCAGGGTAGGAAAACTCTTTTGCAATCTTTAGCATGGTTGGTGTCGGCCCACAGGCACCCAAGGAGTTAGGGTAACAGTATGATTTACCAAGTATAGCATGCCAGAAAATAGAACAGCAGCACTGCCCTAGTTTTCCAAGCAGATCCGACGGCCCAACATCTGAGAGGAGCAGGTACAAGGTAGAAAAACAATTAACATGACAGACATCAACAGTCCCAAGGTCACCGGTGCAACGCAACCACAAGAGTAAGTTAATTAGGCCAGACTAGGCAGGGGCGAGGAGCGGTATATCCTTCCCAAGGGAAGTAACCAATGCTGTCTGCTCGGGCTTTCCAACCATAATGGGGAGGATCGTCGTAGAGTGAGTACAAGATGTATTTTTTTGACCCACCGGTGGAATAGGAACCGGACTGAAGCTCCCCAGAATGGACGTGGAGCCAGAGTTGTAAGGTTCTGTTTATTATTATTATTATTTATTTATTTTTGGGGGGGGGGTGGGACAAACAAAAACAAGGCTATACTTGGTGAAGATGGTGCTCAATCGCTCCAAGTTGCTCCACGCGACTCGCCAATAAGTAATTTTTCTTCACTAGACCCCTTGTCCATCGGTCAACCTCATCAACCCTAATCATCCTCACACCGGTCAGCACTCCTTCCTGCTGCCAATCGCCTTCCTGTCCAGCAGCCTTGTTCTTTCTGCCGGCTATGCACGTGTGCACTCCGCTTTTGCAGACTGGAAGATAACGAGACTTTGCTCTGGTACCGATTACATCGGCCTCACAAGCTCACACCACTTCTCACAAAGTGGTGAGTCCACACACTACATGACATGAGAAACCCAACACGATATGAGAACACTTAAAGGAGTTGAAGTTGTTAAACAGTTTTATAATATTGAACAGTTTTATGATTTTATCATCTTGGTTTATGAGTAACCCAGTGTTAGGGGTCTGTTTTCCTCACTTTTTTCAGGACCTGCCCCCCAAGGACTTTTTGTATCTTCTTGTTGTTTTTCAGGTGTTTATTTCTTTCTTCATCTTTTGACTTCTTAAGTGCTGGAGTTTTTTCATTTCTGCTCGTTCTGGTTCGTAATCTCTTGGAGCAGAGAGGATGCGGCTTTCATTAGGCATCAGCCATAGACAGGGTAGGGCTGTAGTTAGTCTCCCGCTGCCCTTTTCAACGGTTATGGTTCCAAATGGTTGCCACCTCACCTCTTTGTTGTATCATCTTTTATGCTTGCCGGGGACAAGTAATTGGACTGGATCCCCTCCAGAATAAAAAAGGGTATGTGTTTGTGTAAAAGAATAAAAAAAAAAAAAACTCGAACATCCACCTTATATAAAAAAAATTATCATATGCATCTGTCAACACTCAAACAGGTATGCCTCTCGCCCCCCCTCTCTCTCTACGCTAACCCTCATACCACTCTCTCTCTCTCTCTCTCTCTCTCTCTCTCTCTCTCTCTCTCTCTCTCTCTCTCTCTCTCTCTCTCTCTCTCTCT